TGTGTTACTTGTCGCAAAGCCATTGGCTGTAGCTCTTCTTACTGCTTCATAACTCAAGTAGGGTACGAGGTAGTCAAAGCGTCCGGACATTGGAACGTTGCGTAGATATGCTGTGACTTTCAGTGACTGCTGATTATACATGTTACAACTGGTGATGAAGACGTTTACGGAAAAACGCAACGAAAACCTAGACAAACGCCCGGTTATTCCAGTTAAGGCAGCACCCGGTTCAACTCGACAACCGCCACTGCCCGAAGCTTCGTCAGATTATTCTGTTTGGAAATTTAAAGTGGATACCTTGAGTATAGTGTTGATATTGTAGAAAACAGAATCACATAATTGTTTACTCGTACATATTCTTACTGGCTCTGTAATATTACACTCTCTTGGTGACAAATTGCATAGTTCCGAAACTAGTTATCAAATTCTCGTCTATGTTTTTCATAGTTAAGTATCAAAAAGAAGTTTACTTTCAAAGTCTGCTGGATCAGGACATGTCAGACAATGTGATTGAAATAAGTGTAGTAGATCTGCATGTTGGTAAGTGCTTCCGCATCGTTCACCTCCACTGCCCGAAGATTCGTCAGATTATTCTTGATAAATCATTAGACCATTTCGAATCCACAGACAATCATGTTAGTAATGAAAGTGAAATATTTGATGATGAATATTTATTTGATGAATATATATCCGTGTCACGTTCGAATTTGTTGGTTTAGCAGAGGGCATTAATTAGTTTTTATGTGGATGTGGGATTTCACCTGTTCTTACTTGACTAATTGACATCCAGTGTCGGATACTGGATCAACTGAGTACGCTAACCCCTACATCTTTAAATAATCAAAGCTGAGACCAATGTAAATTGTTGGGTATAGCCCACCAATTCCTTAATCGTGGAGCAAAGCAGAGAAGCATATTAACTATTCAGTATTTTAAATCACTAAAATACGTACGAACAAACTCTGATATTGTCTTGTTAAATCCTGATAAAAGATCCGGCGTGATTGTCAAGAACAAATGTGAATGTAAAAGTAAGACATTATCCATTCTCAGTGATGAAAGTAAATTTATGCCTGATGGTGAATTTGCAGGTATTAGCAAAGTAAAGGGAAGAATAAATCCAAACATAGTGAAACTGCTACACATGAATATTATTGGTAGAGAGGAATTTAATTTCCTAAAACCTGCTGGTTCTGAGTATGGTCATTTACATGGATTACCTAAAATTCACAGACCAAACATTTGTTTACGCCCAATTTTATCAGTGCGTCGATCACCTACACATAACCGAGCTAAATTACTGGATCCTGTTGGAACACGTTTATATAAGTATTCTGTGAACGATTCTTTTGAGATGGTCGATCATTTAAGTGATACTAATATGAAGAGAAAGACAATGTGTTCATTTGACGTGAATTCCCTGTTCACAAATATACCTCTGAAAACGACTATTGATATATTATGTGACCACACAGCCTTAAAGAATTACCTATTCCTTTAAAATTTCTTAAAGATTTAGCACTATTATGTACTGACAACGTCCAGTTCATATTTGAGGGTGAATAGTTTTGCCAGATCGACTGGTTGCTATGGTTGGTCCATTAGACTATTATTAGCAGATGTGTTCACAACACATGTTGCGAATCTAGCTGAAGACCTAATCGTAAACATGTCTGTTTATAAGAGATATGAAGATGACATCTTAGTTATCTGTGAAAGAAACGACGATATGAATTGTTTATTGAGTAGACTTAACACTCTGCAAAATCACATCAGCCTTTGATGTGAAGAGGAGAAGAATGACCGGCTTCTCTTCTTAGATATGCTAACAAGTAGACGAGAAGATGGTTCAAGCAAACGATCCATCATTCGAAAACCAACGTTGACGGGACAATACATTAGTCACAATATTTACTGGTGTTGACGATCTTCTCAGGTACACCATAGTGTCGAAGAAGCTTCCACAAAGTTCTCCTATCCACGCTGTCAAATTGTTTCTCATAGCCAATGACTGTTCAACGATGATCCATGGTGTCGCGATTTGGTCTGTTCACGGTCGATCCTTACGAAATCCGACCTGTTGATCCCCACACTGGTCGTCTACTGAATCTTTCATCCGGCTGAGCAATACTCTGTTAAAAACTTTTCCTGGTACAGATATTAGTGTGATACCTCTATAGTTTTAACATTTGCTCAGATCTCCTTTCTTTGGTATTATGATGAGGTGTCCTTCCCTCCAGTCTATCGGTACATGTTCGTCCTCCCAAATCTTTCTAAATAGAACGTGGAGCATGCTTGCAGTTACTTGCATGTCTGAATTCATTGCTTCATTCGGTATGTTGTTAGGTCCTACTGCTTTCTCACTCTTTGATTTGTCTGATGGCCATGCTGATTTCTTCCGTCATTGGTGGAGTGACATCTATGGGAATGTCTGTGTGTGCTGCTTCCATGTCCGGAGGGTTCAGTGGGGCTGGTCTATTCAAGAGTTCCTCGAAGTATTCCACCCGTCTGTTCTTGAATCTCGGTGATTTGTTTTTCTTCTTTGTCCTTGACTGGTCTCTCTGGTTTACTAAATTTCCCTGCTAGTTCCTTCGTTGTGTCATATGGCCATGTCATATTCCCTTCTCTTGCAGCTTTTTCCGCTGTCGTTGCTAGGTCTCCCACATATTTCCGCTTGTCGGCCCTAATGCTCCTCTTCACTTGCTTGTTTGCTCTTGTGCATTCAGCTTGTGCCTTGACTTTCTCTGCTCTTATTCGGCTGTTGTTTATTGCAGTCTTTTTGTTCTTCCTTACCTGAATCTTGTCTAGGGTTTCCATAAAGATCCATTACTTATGATGATGCTTCTTTCGGCTCAGAACCTCCTGACACGTTGAAGTTAATGCTTCTTTGATCCCTTCACAGTTGTTCTCCACAGTAGTTTCTTCTCATTATTTGAGTAGATCTTGTAGGGCTTGGAACCAATTGTTGAGAATGATCTTGAATTTGTTGAGTTTGTCAGTATGTCAAAGGAAGGTTGTATTGAACCTTTGTACTGCTGTTTCTCCGGCTGTCCAGGGTTTCTTTAGTTTCGGTTTCATCTTGGTCACAACTAGGTGGTGATCTGAAGCTGCGTCAGCTCCTCTCCTGGTTTCCACGTGTTCCATTGTCCCTCTGAATTTTTGAGTGAAGCAAATATGATCGATCTGGTTCGCCGTGGCGTGATCCGGTGTGGATCATGTAGGTGTGTGTATGTGTTTGTTTCGTAATATTGTGCCGCCTATAACGATTTTGAAATTCACATAAATTTGCAAATGTCTCACCATTTTTGTTGCTTTCCCACAGTCCATGTCATCCCGTGATATCTTTATATCCAGTGTTGTTCATTCCGACTTTGGCGTTTAGGTTTCCCATTAGGATGGTCAGGTCTTTTCCTGGGCACTTAGCTATGATTGATTGTAGCCTCTCATAGAACTGATCTTTATTGTTGTCGTTGTTTTCTTTGGTGTGTGCACAACACTGGATTTTACTAATAGTGATCCCATTCTTTTTTGAAGGATGCTTTAGTGATCCTGGATTCATTAGATTCCCATCGTACAGGTGGATTTCTTGCTTCTTTGCACAACATCAGAGCAACTCCTTGAGTGTGTGGAGCTATTACCTCTTCGTGACCGGAGTGCAGCAGCATCTCTCCCGTGTCTAGGCTTATCTGTTCAGCTTGGGTCAAATGTGCTTCACTTATTATGGGCATCGCCAAGTTGTGAGTCGGTTGTAATAAACATAGAGACGTCTAAACCAAGACTTGGCATCAATTCATGGAATAATTAACTGTTGGTAAGTTCAGACTACCTGATCGAGTTCTACGAGATAACCGCAATCATCAATTGTAGATGTCGAGTAACAGTTGAGGACCAGTCACACTAGCCCAAATGCACTTACTGTTTATCTTCCTCTAAATCTTGAATTTAAGTTTCCCTTCCGCTTGATTATCGTGATCAGTGGTTAGACACTTTGAATGACATAGCTCACGACCGTTTGCAGTGACGCAAATACATCCACTCTTTGTCTTCCCCAAAATTCTGAGATTCTAAATTTTCTCTTCTTTATTTCACTAATTTCTATTTTCTCGAGTCGTATCTCCAGTCCCAAATCCTTCCTATTACCACTGGTACTGTTACTACCTCTACTTTTCTGAGATTTGGCCCGAAAATTTGATCTTTGCGCTAGGGGCTTATGGAGACTTGAAACGATGTACATACGTATCAGGTTCTACGTTGTGACTGACTCATATTCTGTCTTTATACTCTTTAGAACCATATTCCTAATGTTTAGTCGTTCTCATTATCATTATTACTGCTATAATATGAACTCATTTGGTATTAAGCTTGTTAACTTCATTTTGCTGTGCAACTATATGCTAGACTATACAATGGTTATGATTGACTACTAAGTGTTTGTAAGACGTGGTTATTAAATCTAGGGAATACTTTCATAACGTTATCTATCCAAACAGTTAAAAGCACTGAATGAACATAATTCTGCGGATGGAATATTTAAATTATTCAAGAAGATTGTGATGCAGAATGTTTATAGTATATTCCTATTCGTCCATCTCGAACATAAATATTATTAATGAATAAAAATATTAGAGAAGTTCACTGAGTTACTATGCTTTGGAATTGATTCATTTCATGAAAGAATTTGTTTCCAATCTGAGTTAAGTAAAATTGTAATAATGCTTCTTTAAACCACCAGTAGGCCAGCTCTACTGACGTTCTTTGCTTCGGACCCACTTATTTTTTTACTTAATCTTGTTTCTGTTGTCTTTTTTATGTCTGTTTTGAAATATAGAGACTTGGGCTAGTGCACTATTGTTCTAGGTTCGATATTGTATCAGCTTGGAATTTATACGTCGTGAAATACTTTATTGTGTTTATAAAATACTTGAGTGTTGTATGAATAGCATTAAAATAATGATTTTGCTTACTAAAAATTGTCAATGCTTTTTATTCTTTTTAATTAGGATTGTTCATTTGATCCTAGCAGATCCTTGGGGTTTTGTCGAGGATCCTTTAAAAGTTAAAGATCAGTCGAATGTAGGTGCAGCTCAAGCATGGATATTTTCGACTTTCCGTCAAATATTCCGTCCCTTTAATCCTTTATCCTTTCTTCGTGCTGCCGGGCCTTTCGGGCCTAGCCTTATCCACTATTTCCGTCAGGATCTAAGAGGGTTTTTCGATCAAAGACCCATTCGCGTGGAAGAGGTGAGATATGTTTTCGATAGATTTTGTTATCTAAATAGTTGTTGTTGTCTGTTAGAATAGCGAACTATATGATAGGTATAAAAATGTTTCGAAGAGAAAGTACGTTTATTAGCTTATTGTGAAGACGTAGTGGTCCAGCTATACCCCGTAATTTATAGAATTATAATCATATGTTTCACATACTTGCTAATAATGGGTTAGTAATTTTTGTCTGATAATACTTAAATAAATTTAACAAACTCATTCACCAGGTACTTGAGTATGAGCCATACAGAGTGTGAGGTCTCATGATATTACCCGGCTGTCCGGACAGAAGAAAATGTAGCGGAGTTCGAACTTGGAACTTAGTGGCCGAGAGTGGAATAGCTTAAGTACTAAGCCACTACTTCTGTATCTTGTGCAGTTTATTGTATATTAAGATTTAATATATTTCAAGTTGTCTTTAACATGAGTTCATTCAATCTAGAGAAAATTATGGAGATATTTACTATATCAGGTGAAACTATTCGTAGTTGATTGTTAAGTATTTATGGGACTTCAGCACAGTGTTGTTTCACAAGCAGTTCAGCCTAATTCGGTTTTCTCATTAAGACTGCTTGTTTACAAACGGGTATGACTGTCAGGCGTAAAACGTTAAGTAGGGTTAGTAAGTCGATCAATAAGGCCGTTAATTTCCATTGACTGGAGTGATTCCCATCGGTTTTAAGCACTTCCAATCACTGTTAACATCGATATGAAGTGCTCAATTCTAGATGAACAGATTAGAATGAGAACAGAGGTGAGGATATCAAGAGATTCCAACAGTTTTTGAAGCCAAATACTGTCTTCATATGCCGTACATTTTAATCGGGGTGTAAAAGATAACCGTACTCTGTAGTTGGAAACGATAGCTATCACTGTGTTGTTCGTTTGAATCATCCCATTGATGTTTAGCATATATGCATCCTGTGCGGATTGCCTTGGTGTTGCCTTGGGTCACAAGCATTATAAGCAAAGATGTATGATGGCCAGCAGCGGGATCCAGGACGCTCGTCAGCTGGATGTACCTTTATCCCAGAGTTGATGTTCACTGTTCCGAAATATGGTAATGTAGGTAGATTCGCTCGTTAGTTCTGTGAATCGGAAGTTTTAAAATGACCTCTATTTTCAATTTTCCGGTTTACTCTAAACTGGATTTCATTATTACTGTACCGTACTGACCTGCATGTGTCTAAGTGCCCGACAGGATCATGGTCAACTGTAGTATTGAATTCAGGGATAGTCTGATTTTTGACATAGCAGGTTCACATCATTTATATAAGCACGATCAATAATTTGCAACATGGGCTAACAGATGAGAAGATACCCAGGTAGACCTTTGAATTAGATAAAATCAGCGGAATCGTATAACAGAATATTCATGCCGATATATTAACTACTGAATAAATATGCTTGCGTGTTAGTGCAGTATTGTGATTTCGCAGTCGTTACAATCCGTACAAAAATGGCGCCTTGTAGAAATTATGACCTTGGAGAACATACACCTAACCGAAACTTCACATTTCTGTGCTAAACTTGTGGTGCTGCTTATGCAACGTAACTGTCTGGCAAGTTTACGACTATCACAACGTACCTGATGAACGGTGCTCGGTACAAGGAAGGTATGAACTTGAAAAAAGCGTACTTGTTTCAGCCGTAAGAAGAAACGCCATGGCTAAGTAATGCAAACGTGATGCTGAAAGAAAGCGAAACAAAAGATCAGGAATACATTCGGACATAAAAGTTGTTTTGAAAGATGCTTTGATGATCCTGAATCCATGAAATTCCGATACTATAAGTGCTTTTCATGTTTCTTTGAAGAACATCAGTGCAACTACCTATATACACGAGACATTTTCTTTTTCATGATCAGAGTACAACAGAACCTCACTCGAAGCTTATCTTTTCTATCCAGCTTGCTTCTAACGGTTTTGGCTTGTTCCAAGCTCCTCCATGTTCTATCTCATTTCCTCAACAACTTGACTGGTCCTCTCAGTCTCCTACATTGTGGCGACATCCAATGTACCTATGTTAATTGTTGCTCTGATTCTTAGAAAAACAATCGGCCTCGTGACTTCTGAAGAATCTCGGCTTTTATCACAAGGCATCATAACTCTTCTAAATGTTGCCCCTTGTAGTCCGTGAGCAGAATTAAAATGATTAAAATGAATTTTTCTGGCTGTCGTTTCTTAACAAAGTTCTTTTTCACGGAATGAGATTACTGACCCTAGAAAAACCTCAGGCAGAGTTGTTTTAGTATTTAAAAAAATAATAATAGTGAACCTGTCAATCATCTACGAAGTTTAAAAGAGCTGATAAGATGGTTATATATATATATATATATATATATATATATATATATATATATATATATATATATACTTCGTTAATAAAAGAACTTTAAAACCTGAAAGCAGATTTTGAACTTGTTTTTATCAGTGTTTATCAATTGTCGGTTGGTTGTTTGTTTATTTTAAGTTTTATAATGTAATTGTAATTGGTTTTAGGTTGGGTCTACGGTAATTTGAGAATCTTTTAATGCTAACAAGACTAATGAGAACTTGACAGACTGGATGTCTAAGAAAAACGCTTCAACGGTAATGATCCACGCACCGAATAGAGAAGGGACGTTTTAGGACAACTTTATCTTTCGAACCAAAAATCAAAAATTCAACAACTCCATTTACAAAGTAACACTCATTGACGTTGGGATGCATAAGACAACTAGCAGACTGTAATTAAAAACAACTAATCTGATAACAGTGTAGATCACTACTGAAATATAATTTATAAAAATGCCATCGAGATTATTCTTTAAGAAAAAAAGATAACATGTAAGTAATCTGAGTTCTCCTTAGCAGTTTATACTGGCGAACTGGTAATATGTTACTCGGTTCGACGATTTCGTCTTCAGGCGCTCTCCGTAATCTGAGTGGATTTTTTTATAACTTGCATGAAATTTATGCATCAATGTTAGACACTTTTCTTGTTGTAAATGTCTAGTAAGTAGACGATAATGTGTAATTTTAGATTACAATTCTAATATCCAACATTTTTTAATTCCTAAGATGACAGAAATACCTCGAGCAGAAGAACTTGAATCGACCCAGAATTTTTCTTACGATAATCACATTCAGTCAACTAATGGTGAGGATGATGTTTTCAAGCTTCCATCACCGATCCACAGAACGATGAAGACTGGGGGGACCGTCTATGACAAATCAAATTCCAATACAATGGATTCTATTGATTTAAACGATTTGGATGGGTCTGTAGCTTTGGATTACGTCTATCATATTAACTGTCAGCATCCAAGGTACCATTGTCTTAATTACATCTATTGGTTTTTTAGCTGGACTAAACTGTTCACCATCTGATTACTGTTATTTCGCATAAATAAGTTCGTGTTATTCAAGAGTAGAAAGAAAAGTAAATTGTTTAAGGGATTGTAACTATTTTTAACTTTTGTGAGGCTTTTTCAGAGGCTTTTCCTAAATGTTTAATTATGTCAGGATCAGTGGTCGTATGTAGACAATAAAAACCAACTTATCCCGTCAAATGAGAGTGATTTCCCCCCTATTTTCGTGTTAAAGTAACTAGAGGTTCTTTATTTAATTAGATTTTTGGTTTATTTAGCAAGAGTAATTGATTTTGTAACTGTTGTATTGTAGGCTTTCACACATTTTTGTGGTGAATAGTTTCTTCAACTTATGACGGCTGATGCTCTTAGTCATATATATATATATATATATATATATATATATATATATATATATATATATATATATTGAGTATCTGCACGTTGGTATTCTCTTCTCGAATTAATTTGCTGTCTGCAATTGTCTTGACTCTGTATACGCATAAGTCTTCCAGTGCATGTGAGCAATACGCTCTTAAAAGTGATGCACATCATTCTAGTTGGATGAATGAAAATGTATATCTTGTTTGTTTTAGAGGTGATTATCAGTGAATAGAAGGGTGGAAATTCTTATCCAAACGATATCGTTCCGTGATTAGGCATATGATGAATATGTAGGAAGTCACGAGTCGTGACCCTATTTTCTATAAATGAACAACCATTAAGAGTTTAGGATGTAATCGAGCGAATTTTAAAACCTTTGGTACACTAACCACCAGTTACATCAAGGAATGAAAATAGACACCATGTTATAACATCTGAGCAATGACATTTGAATTTTGCCTGTAGATGTATGCTAACTATATAAACAGTTCACTGTATGTAGCGAATTTTTATGATCCTGTTTTGTTGATTTTATAAGTAGCTTAGCATACTGTCTTCATAGTCAATGTTTAGATGAAGATCCATATGCTGTTACCACAAACACTGATTCTGCTTTTCATTCATTCTTGTTATAAGTAACCTTTTAGTTATAATTGTTATGTATAATTATCAGTAAATTGACTATTTATTATTTCTGCAAAAACACTTGCATAACATTGCTTTCTGGATTTTCCATTCGATTTATTGTCTTTCGATATTACTACGATCACATTGTGCTCTATGAATTATTGTTATCTGTGTGGAAAAAGTCTTTAAAATTGTCAGTGATTCAACTTTTAATTACCAAACTGCATAACTCAGAAAACCCCGTATAACAGTATATGATCATTTATAAACTCAACATAACTTCTGTTTTTCATAAAACCTTTCTTTATAATTCTTTGAATTCTAGCGCTATATGGAATTAATTTTCATTTGTCAAAGGATAAACCATAATAGCATATCAAAATGTTTGACATCAAAATTCATTGATTTATACAACCTAGTTTATAATTAAACATAACGTTAATTTTTCAGTTGCTCAATTTTTTTTCAAAACAAGCGATACCTTTGTACTCCTTAAATCTCATAGTAACCATCTGTATATCTATCTATCTATCTATCTATCTATCTATCTATCTATCTATCTATCTATCTATATATATATATATATATATATATATATATATATATATATATATATATATATATATATATATATATATATATAACATATATATAATCTTGGTACAGTTTTTGACATGAAATTAAGTTTATCACATCACATGTTGTGTCACGTTTAAATAGAAACAAAAAAGTCACATATTACAACGGAATGTTATTAGGCACAAATAGAACAACTTAACTATGATACCCGGCGTGATTATTATCAAAACATTTGCGGATTGTTTGCAAATCACATTTAAAATGTCTGACCCAGTATGCCTTCTGTCAAGTAAACGCTTTTAAATTAGCCATTTAAAAAGAATTACTGGCAACATACCAGGATTTACTACTTCTGCACTGAAAAATCTCACTGAAAGCAGTTTTTATTCTAGATTTATGTATACACATAGCGGTAATCGCTCATGCTAAATTTTAAATCGTTTAAATGCCTCATGCTAATCAACCGTATAAGAATTCATTAAGTTTTGTTTATTACGCTGTTCATAGACCATGAAATACTTGCGACAATAAAGTATGAAGAAATTCGTAAATGTACGAATCAGGAACTTAAAAACGCACAATTCATGTACGATTACAGTCAACATGTGAATATCATGTTGTTTTACAAAAATGTGAAACACTGCTACTGATGATGTTACTAATTTTTCTTACTCTGGCACTCTTACTACTAATCTTATCTCACTATGCCTGTGCGATGTGACAATTGGATGCCATTCGCATATATTAACCCTGTTTGAGCATGAGCTGTCAATCAGGACTCTCCACCCAACACTGTCCTGGGCTCCCCTTTCCAGTTTTTGACAATTGCTGTCCATTATGTCAATGTCTGCCTCCCATTCCCGGCGTAATGTGTTCTATGATCTGCCTCTTTTCCTCTTGCCGTGAGGATTTCAAATTAGGATGTACTTTATAATGCAGTTTAATACTTTCCACAATGTTATGGCCTATCCACTTCCAACATCTTTTCCTAATTTTTTCTTTGGTCGGAATCTAGTTTGTTCTTCGGCGCAGTAGGTTGCTGCTGATGGTATCTGGCTAACAGATCTGGAGTATCTTACGTAGACAGCTGTTTATAAATACCTGTACCTTTTTGATGATAGTTGTGTTAGTTCCCCATGTCACAGCTCCGTGTAGTAGAACTGTCTTGGCGTTCGTATTAAAAATTCTGACTTTGATGTTAGCTGACAGTTGTTTTTGAGTCCTAGATGTTCTTCAATTACAGGAATGCTGCCCTTGGCTTTGCCAATCCTTGCCTTCAGATCTGCAGCAGATCTTCCTTGTTTATCAATGCTACTGTTCAGGTAGGTAAGAGTTTCCACCTCTTCCATAGCTTCTCCACCAAATGTGATTAGGTCGCTGCTCGCTGTGTCGTATTCTAGGAACTTGCTTTTTCCTTTGTGTATGTTGAGGCCTAATGCTGGAGAGACTTTCTAAATTGACTGTCTTCGCTCGCACTTGTTTGTGTATAGGATATATGAACTAGGTCATCTGCGAAGTCCGAATCGTCTAGTTGCATGAAAACTATCCACTGTTTTGCGTTATTTCTCTGAGCTGTAGAGGTCTTAATGGTCTAATCAACCACTAGAGGAAATAGAAAAGGAAAGAGTAAGCAGCCTTTTCTAACATTGGTCTTCACTTGTAATGCATCTGTGAGCTTCCCTCCATGCATGAATTTGCAGCATAGTTCTTCACAAGAAGTCTGTATGATGGTGACAATCTTCTCAGGTATACCATAGTATCGGGAAACGTTCCACGAGGCTTTCCCATCAACACTGTCAAATGCTTTCTCGTAGCCAAAGAAGTTGATGTATAGTGGTGAGTTTTATTCAATTGATTGCTCAACAATGATCCGTAGTGTGGCCATCTCGTCGGTACACGATTGATCCTTACAGAATCCAGCCTGTTGATCTTGAAGTTGGACATCTACTGAATCTTTCATTCTGTTCAACAACACTCTGTTAAAAACTTTTCCTGGTACTGACAGTAGTGTGATCCCTCTGTAGTTCTCACAATTGCTCAGATCTCTTCTTTTTGGTATATTGATGAAGTATCCCTCTTCCCAGTCCGCTGGTATTTGTCCCTTCTCCCAGATCTTTCAGAAAATAGTGTGGGGCATCTTTCCAGTCTTTAGACTTACAGACTTCAGTGCTTCCATAGATATATTGACTGGAACTGCTACTTTCCCAGCCTTTGTTAGTTTGGTGGCCATGCCGATTTATTTTATTGTTGGTTGGGCATCTGCAAGATGGTCTGTCTGTGCTGCTTCAATTTTCGTTGTGTTCAGTGTAGCTGTTCTATTCAGGAGCTCTTCAAATTGCTCTCTCTATCCATCTGTTTTGCTGCTGTTTGGCCTCAGTGATTAATGTTTCTTATTTGTGACCAATCGGTCGCTGTGATCTATATTTTTCGCTTGCTTCAGTGTATTACATGGTTACATGGTATTTCTTTCCGTTCCTTGTTATTCTGAATTTTGTTTACTTTTGTTCAGTGAATTTCACCTATAATATGAGTGAGCATGCCATATTTTCTCATATATATGGTGTTTTGGGCAGTCCTCCCATTTAACCACGCTGTTTGAAATACTGATTTGTTGAAAGCAAATAGATTTGCAAATGTCTCACCATTTCCGTTCCTTCCTCACAGTCCATGTCTTCTCGTGACATCTTAATGCCCGGTGTTGTCCTTTCCAATTTTGGCGTTTAAATCTCCCATCAGGACGGTCAGGTCCTTTCCGAGACATTCCTCTACAATCTACTGCAGCCTCTCATAAAACTGGTATATGATTCCGATCCTAGAATTGCTTTTCGTGCATCTTTATACATGAGACATTGTTTTCTTCATGTCAACAGCACCTCTCGCAGTCAATGTACGCTTCCTTATCAAATAAATTTTAGGAAACGTCCGTCTTTAATTGACTAAAATTAGGCATAATATCTCTAAAAAATGACTTTCGCCCTCCCTATCGCACGATGATGTCGAGGGATTTTGCATTGTGTAATGGATTTCATGCTTCTTATGTTATCTGTATGGAGTTATGGAAGTCCATATATTTTAACTCTTCTGATTACAAACTTATATCCTTTATATGTATTATATGAACCCCTTCCTAGGCTCGATATTTTAGTTACTCGAAATTTTGATGAAAAACTCTCATTGTTTCGTAACTTTTCAAACAACATTGTCGTATTCGTGACTAAAAGATCTGTCGCATTAAAAATCATAAGAGAAAATTCGTTTAGGCCTGGTGACTTGCGATTCTGTAAAGGATGAATTTTCTGGGGGGTCCACTTCTTCAGGCGCATTTGTGTTCACTGGCAGGGAAATGGTCACAATTTTGCCGAAATCGGTGGTGCAGTGAAACTGCATAAAGTTATGGGTGTCTAAATTTTACTAGCTTAAGCACCATCAACCTCACAGTTTGTTTCATTCACATTAGGGTTGTACTTGCTGCTGACCTTATTACAGGTTTTTCTCTGAAAGTAAAGTTAAATCAGTTGACATCTTGGCTCACCGCAATCTAGTTAGTTTTCAAGAAGTTATTAGACTTTTTATGATAAAATAGAACCGTCAGAAGTAGTCAGATCCTGTACATGCACACATCTAAGTTTTGTCTGTACAACTAAACGTTTCATAATTCGCCCTTGTACATTTTTACCATAGATAATTGCAAGTATATATTTGTGTTGTAGTTTCATGCTTCTAGTTGTTCGTTGCTCAAATTCGTATATATTGATTCAATTTTTGAAAGGTAATTTCATGCATGCATTGTCCACTTTTATACTGTCAGATGTGGTCTTTTCTGGATTAGGGGAAAATTAATATTACGAATTGTGGTGTTAATAATAATGAACCGAAAAGCGACTTATTTCGTATTCTGTGATTACTTAAGTAAGTTTTTTGTCTAGGGATTTATATGGGTGATATATTAGTAGATTGTTTTATTATTTTTCCTAATTTTACGTTCATTGTGTTGTGCATGAACTCAAAAAATCACATAATGTTTTATCGAATTATTTTTTTGTTCCCATTATTCAACCCTGCGGACACTAGAGAGTTTGTCCAGGTGAGTTCTAAACGACGGCATCGTCACCTCAAGGCCAACTCTTCTGCTCATTTCCTTACACGAAATCTTTTGTCTTGATGAATATGTCAATAATTGTTTCAACCTAAGACAAGACGAATTCTTATCAGCTGATTCGTTTTCCTTTCATTAAACGTGTACTAGTCATATTTTCGTCTCATAAGAATGGTGTTTACAAAAAAAGCGGTTTATAAATATAGATTAAGAAGTAATATCTACTTTTTGTAACAGTTTATCATTCTTATCATGCTATTTCATTCTAATTCTGCTTTTATTATTGAGAATACAATTTTCATTTAAGCGGTGAAACAGGATTCAAGTCATTATGTAGTTCAGTTGGATGGCCTCAACGCCCAATGTTAGACAGAATTAGTCAACTCGATCCTAATGTTCCTGTCACCTTTATATATGGTTCTCGATCATGGATGGATTTATCATCAGGATATAGAACTCGTGTATTACTTCCTAATTCGTACGTAGATGTAAAGGTAGGTAGCCACCTCGTCATTTTTCCTTTACAAATAATCTTGACCACACACACACCAAAGTGTTTGATCAAATACATTATCCTCTGATTATTAACACCCAGTTTGTATTTTAGTGGCTCTTTGATCTGACTCCAATTCGAACGAATAAATATGCTTTCATTTAATTCTGTATACTTCACGTAGCCTAACCCCGTTTGTACGATGGTAATAAAAAGTCAAATGCGAATTCTGTTGAATCGGTTTATTTCACTGCAATCGTCTGTGCAGGCAAACCAAAGTGAAGTGGAGACGACAAGTGAGCCAACTCGCCCATACTACTCATTACAAGAGTTAATATAGCTCAAAATAGATAATGTGTAATGTGACAAATAGACAGGCTTTGGACAAAATAATGAGTGACGGACATACACACAATGCTCATAAGCGTAGAATCAGGACATGAATATAAAACGATTTCCTATGAAAATAGTAAGGTTATTATGATGGTAATAATGACTCAATAGTTACATGCTGTCTGAGTTGTTGTTTGTCTATGAGCTAGAATGAATCATGTTAGTGCATAGTTGTACTAGATACCACAGTACAAATTCCATTTTTGCTTTCAAATGAGTTCCCACTGTTCCATGAGTCATAAAAAGGCGGCTGTGGCTAGTACATTGTGTTTGATTAGATGAAGTATTCCAGTATTCTTACCTAATAAAATTTAGTTTTTTTTTTACTTATTTACAATTTCAAATTATACCCTACGATCACAAGCACTGTGCCTTTGCTTAAACTCATAATTAATCCCACTGCACTATATTAATAATACTGACTTGTTTTTAATGCTTTAATATTTTATGTAAAGCCAAGATTATTTTAATGTCAATAACTTTGAGGTTATCTTGGTATCCAAGTTTTGTTAGGCAGTAAGTTCTTTATAGTAGCTACTACTGCCTACGCTAATTAATTGTCTGTTATAAAAGCCTCTAATTAACAAATTTTGTTTCAAACTGTTGAGCTTATTCTATGCATAAATCTATTAAAAAAGAAAATAAGCTATACTAACTGTATCATGGAAAACCTGCTGACTGATCTCATTTGTTGGATTGTTGTTTATAATAAACTATTTTTGAGACCTTTTTATATTTTCTTCATCACATGGTACGTAATACTAAAATACCGACAGAAATTCGATATAACCTAGTTGTTATAACATTAGTTAGTGAGAGTTTCATATAATCGTATGATATCACTTGATCATTTCTCGCTTAGACAACTGAATTCTGTGGTTATGAGAGTTTAACGTACGAATTAGCGGCTGTATCGCATTTCTTACATCATATGAAATCCTCTCCTAATTGTCTTCATCAGATCAAGGGTACGATAGATATAAAACTAACTAATCTGGGTTATGAAAGTGTAAATCGACCGTTGATGCTACCTTGACGTGGTGGTCGGGTTTGCCTATTTGTGACGAACCAACCATGCTATACTGGTTGAGACGACCGTTCCTCAAGGTCCTACCATGCTAGACAGGTCAGTTGAAGAGCGGTAAGACTAAAAGCAACAAACCGAAGGCGAAGTCGTATTGCTGACTATAAAGAGATGTGACGGCAGTGAGGTGTTTCCTTCAGACAACCAGCATGACAACGATGCTGCCTTCCCACAAGGAGGGGTGGGGTTAGGGAAGGTCGATCCTAAAAATGTCACCCCTCACTTTATACCACGGATATCCGTCTCTGGCGGTAAGGTCTCAACAAGTACGGAGCTAACACGAAAATTACCCACAAAAAGGTCGTGTGTGACCGACCTCAAGCAGTTGTCCCTTGGGTACTGCAGTCACGCTCTCAGGTCAATATGACCACCTCTAATCCAATTTCCTTTTCAGGTACCACCAGAAGAACCCTTCTACGGTATGGGCAACGGGGAAGTGATAAACGCCCTCATACCTCTAACAGCACTCAGGACTGCTATATTCATAATCAACCTTCCTCTTGAATTCCTATTATTCTCCCTACATCGACTTTCAACTCTAAACTTCCTCTTTCGGCTTCCTACTCAAGTGTCACCATAGCCAACGATTCTAGTGCATAGCAATAAGTACGAGAGCAGGTGTTGCTTCGAAAGATATACAAGCAGCTGTGGAAACAGCAGTGACATCTATTAGTGATTTAAACCACAGGGTTACAAAGAACCAATGGATTTCTTCAAGGTCTATTGCACTGATGGGTTCCCGTAAACTCATCCCATCAGACTCTGAACACGATGAAGAGCGAAAACAAATCAGATCTAGATTAAGCAAAAGTATAAGGAACGACCGTGAGCAGTGGTGGGCAACGAAAGCAAAAGAGATGGAAAAGGCGGCGGCTATAGGGAACACAAGACAGCTCTACAGACTAATAAAAGAAACTGGAATTAATAATTCAAGTGTAAGTCAGACTATTTCGGAAAAAGACGACACTCTCATCTGCTCCCAGTCCAGACGTTTAGAACGGTGGGCGGGACATTTTAGAGAACAGTTCAGCTGGCCTTCAGCTACTCTACAACTACCCTCCATTCCCAGACAGTGTGAATGGAACATTGAAGTAGGTCCCCCAACTGTAGCTGAAGTTCAAGAGGCTATGGTTAATCTGAAACGAGGAAGGGCAGCTGGTCCAGATGGATTAGCTCCAGAGGTCTTTAAGGATGGTGATCTAATTTTAGCAATTAGGTTTACTAACATTTTAGCTAAAATCTGGGAGTTGGACGTTATCCCATCTGACTGGTCACAGTCACTTATCGTCCCAATATATAAGAGAGGGTTAAAATCATCCTGTGACAACCATAGAGGGATTAGTTTAACTAATATAGCATCTAAAATACTAGCCTCGATAATGATCGGACGCCTAACTAAGATTCGTGAACTGCAAACACGAGAAAATCAGGCTGGCTTCAGATCTGGTCGTGGTCGTATCGATCAAATAGTCACCATTCATCAGGTTCTCGAACCCAGGCATACTTATCGGCGTCCGACAATGGTGGTCTTTCTTGACTTAGAAGCGGCATTTGACTCGGTGAAGCGAGAGGTGCTGTGGCAGTGTCTGTCATTGAGAGGTGTACCTCAGAATTACATAAACCTTGTGAAGGCTCTTCACTCGAACACTACTAGTCGAGTCAGAGCTTATGGCGAACTGTCATCGGCTTTTGCAACCTCAAGTGGTGTCCGTCAAGGCTGTCCACTTTCTCCATTTCTGTTTAACTTTATCACAGACCTACTGATGGAAATAACATTCTCATCGACTGAATTATCGGGTATTGATCTCCTACCAGGAGGTCCACTTATCGACTTGGAATACGCAGATGATATAGTCCTGTTTGGTGAAGAAGCTGATAAATTGCAGAGTCTTTTAATAGCACTGAGCAACAATGCCAGAATGTTTGGAATGCGCTTCTCCCTCTCTAATTGCAAGTTGTTGCTTCAGGACTGGTATGCGTCAACACCTGAACTAAGGAGTAGTCGAACGCGTTGACAACTTCACTTATCTTGAAAGTCTGATCAACTCTAATGGGTTGGTGTTTGACGAAAGTTGTGCACGGATTCAGAAAGCTCGTTTGGCTTTTGCCAACTTATATCACCTATGGCGAAGGCGAGATATTCGTCTATCAATAAAAGGACGAGTATACTGCGCGGCAGTTTGTTCTGTTCTACTTTACGGCTGCGAAATATGGCCATTAAGATTTGAAGATACTCATAGGCTACATGTGTTTGACCACAGATGCCTTAAAAATAATACCCACATCTGCTGGGATGACCGGGTAAGTAATAGTGAAGTTAAACACTGGGTATCAGGGAATGATGGTAAATCGGTTGATGAGGTTGTTGATATTTATCGACTGAGACGCGTGGGCCACGTGTTGCGTATGCCTGAACACCGATTACCACGACGCGCAATGCTAACCGATATTGGGGATGGTTGGAAGAAAGTCAGGGGCGGTCAAACCAAAACGTGGCATCAGTGCTTGAAGCCACTAACTTCTGTTCTGAGCCATGTTGGTAGAAACAGACTACTTGGTTGGGGTCCGCGTGACTATCGTAACCAATGGTTGGAGACTGTGGGTGACATGGCTCAGAATCGATCACAATGGCGTAGGTGTATACACTCTCTATTTTCCTTTAAACTATGAGATTAAAATCGCTTCATATCTTTCTTTCTACATACTAAATCTTTCTTCCTGTACTATATACTTATATGCAATTTTTCTTTTATATATTACCACCACTGAATGAACCACTTCTATGAATCCGGTGTCCATCTTGTTGTGCTAATGAGATATGGCAACTTGGACTGATGCATATATGTGCTTGATCCTACGTTGTAGCTGACTGACTAAATCGTCAACCACAGAAGCCGAATTTCACGTGCCCTGATCCCTAAATCATTTCCCCAAACAGAATTAGCTCACACCATAAAGAGAGACTGCATAATGTACGTCTTCATTTGAGCTATTACAAGAAACACAACCTATTACGGTTTCTTTCTATCACCCACTTTTGGAGTGGATAATCAAGTATGGTTATAATCACTATGGCCTAAACATGTCTAATACCTAATCGAATACTTATATATTATGTAAACTATTCTGCCTATAAATCTATTCTTTTGCCAAGTAACTTGAATCGAGGCATACAGCAAAGAAGCTTTAACTTTTCTTTGCATATTATATGGTGGCTTATTTCAGTTAGTTCTATCGACATGACAGTAATCGGAGTTTATCTCTTGTTACATTCTGTAACTCCATTATTTAAGACTATCCGTCTTAGAGTGACTTTTTGAACTAAAGGTTAGTTTGGCTATGCTGTCCTGGCAGTCTTGCTGTTGTATTTATTAATAGAACGTCAGTCATCCATCACATGACGTTTCGGATGACTCTCTACTTAAAATATAGCACGCATATGAATATCATCAGTGAGTGTTCGTTTATTTTCTTATGTAGTATTAATAGTCTCAAACCGTTAATTTATGTTTTTATTGAGTTCA